GGATTGTTCGCTCATGGACAGTTGTAGGCAGCACAGCAGAATCCCAATTCAAAGAAGAATGTTTCTTTTCCCAGGATGTCCATAAATATACTGGAAGCAGGCCACACCCCTAGGGAAACTCCCTTTCAATGGATTGGCTACTCAAAACATATACATCTGATCCCATCATCAGAACAACCCACATCACAATTGCTTAACCCACACAGAATTGTGGTCCAGCCAAGTTGACACAGAGCTCCAACTGCCACAGTCCACCTCTTGTCAACTAGGCAATTGCACACATCTTCTTAACCATATGTTGTTGTTATGTGCCGTCAAGCCGGACCTGACTCATAGCGACCCCTCCTTGGGTTTCCGGAGTAGTATCACTATGGAAGTAGATTGTCTCATCTTCCTTCCGAGGAGTGGCTGGTGGGTTTGAACCGCCAGCCTTCTGGTTAGCAGTCAAGTGCATTAGGCACTATGCTACCAGAGCTCTGTCTGAACCATATATAATCTCTAAATAAGGACAATTATAAAGTTATATTTGCACCTGACATGATATGCTAACACACGTACAATCAAAATGCATTAACCTTATTTATACTTCACAGTTCATAACAGAAGGAAACAAAAATACTTGATGCACATATACAATGAAGAAATAGAACAATCACAGTCCTCATTTCTGCAGCTGGTCACATGGTTGTAGCTGATATTCAGAACTACCTTCTTCCACCACCCATTCTGTATTTCCCTGGCCCTCAGCAAGCACCTCAGCTGGTCATGGTTCTTTGCCTGGTGGGGTGACACGAACCTTCATTCCTGAAGGGTCTGGGCTATTAGCAGTCATATCAGAATTGGGTTGCTGTAATTTTCCACTGACTCTGATCACAGGGCATGGTAGTACTAAGAGACATCCTAAAGAATCTCCTGTATTCTAGACATATTCTTCCTTACCTCCATTATGTAATGTCAATCAAATTTCCCCTTGGTAATCAGGATCTATCACACCAGATAGTACAGTAAGGCCTTCTTTGTCTGTTGATCCAGACGCATGAGGAAGACAAATGGCTGGGTGGCATTCTTAATTTCCTGTTCAATGCAATCAGTATTGTGTCTACAGGTGGGAGTGTTCCTCCCTTTGGGACTAAGATCTCCAGACCCACAGAGCATATGGTAGCAGGGACAGGAAGCAAAAAATTTTGAGTGGGTCACTAGGGGTAACAGTGAGTGGTACAACTCCTGTTTCCACCCCTTGGTCCTTGGCCTGTAAATCCTGGCTATTGGAGAAAAAGCACCATATACTGGATGCTGGTTTAGAGCATATACCAGCCTCCTAGAGAACATTGCCTCAACTCTTCAAAGTATTGCCACCTAGCTGGTGCCATAATTGTTTGTTCAGCAGACCATTCCATCATTCTGTCAAGCCAGCTGCTTCAGGATGATGGGGAACATGGTAAGACCAATGAATTCCATGAGCACAGGCCCATTGCCACACATCATTTGCTATGAAGTGAATCCCTTGATTTGAAGCAATGCTGTGTGGGATACCATGACAGTGGATAAGGCATTCTGTAAGTCCACAGATGGTAGTTTTGGCAGAAGCATTGCATGCAGGGAGGTGAATCCCTATCCAGAGTAAGAATCTAGTAATAATCTAGTCTAGCAATAACAAAATGTTGTCTTTTCCATGATGGAA